TACACACACACACACACACACACATATATATATCTTGTCGCTGCATGCTATGTGAACGTTGCATCCCTGAGATTTTCAGGTTCGCATGTGTGATCCACCCAATTCTCAGAGTCAAAATACGACACGAATCCCTCAATGAACATCTATCGCAGATGTGATGATTCCGGATTAGTGCTCATGCAGTGGCGTATTATTTATATGCTTTTTAGCGGGATTTCAGTAACCTTAGCACAACCACAGTATACGTATGTAACTTATATCAAATCTATGAGAGAAACTGGCTGAAAGGCATCGATACTCACGACCATTATGCTACTTTGCAGACGAGATGACAATGCGCACACGAACCATGCAAGAATCGCGGTATAAGTCCTCGCAGTGTATATAAAATGCTTGTGCGTATCACTTAAGTATTACCAAAGTATTCTAGTGGTATATGAAGTACATTGCAATGATTGCAATGCATGTCCCACGCATGGTGAATATGTTTAGTTCGTAAAGGTAGCTACATATTGCTGGGTGCTTTCTGTAGGCTCGTAGGGACTTCCTGTAGTAAGTGGCACAGCACTTCCCTCGACCCCAGTCGATTCAGCTGTGAAGAGCATATTCTGGATGACACGCACTTCAGTCATAAGCCACATCAGTACCATCGTGCAAAGCACCAACTAACCTATCTTGTACCAACTAACCTATCTTGTACCAACTAACCTATCTTATACCAACTAACCTATCTTATACCAACTAACCTATCTTGTACCAACTAACCTATCTTGTACACCTATTCACTGCATCGCCGGCCCACAGCACACAAACCCTGCCGAATGCTCATCCGCCTGAACGGTGTGGAGTACAGTGTGTACAATGTAACGGACAAGTACGAGCAGTTGCGTGCCATGCAGCAGGCAGCCTACGCGCAGATGGACGAGAGAGTGTCGACCTCCGACCTGTCCACAGACGACAGCAGCGGCACACAACACAGCAAATTCGGCGACGATGACGCACAGGCAAAACTCGATAGAGCCGCTGAGGAGTTTGTGGCGGGCATGTTCAGCTGTATGTGGC